CTCATATAAGAAAAAATACGAATTAAGGGCCAGCGGCCGAAAACAGAATATTTTTAAAAAGTGTTTAAATAACACAGTAAAATGCATTTGCGCATGAACAACAACTCACTAAGTTTTGTAGCAATCGCATGTTTGGTGTAGGAGCGCATACGGTTTGAAAATATATTTATATAGCTCATATTAGGAAAAACGAATATGAGGGCCCTGGCTCAAAAATGAATAATTTAAATCGGTTGTAACATTTAGAAACCTTTATAGAAAAGTTTGCAACATGTCATCAAAGTTTTGTTGGAATCGAATAAATGGCGTAGGAGCGCATGTGGAAAATATTTTTACAAAGCTCAATTAGAAAAAAAACGAATTAAGGGCCAACGGCTAGGAATGGAACATTTGATAAGGTTTTTAATGACTTAGTTAAATGGCCGGTTATGGGGAAAACAAATGTGTAAAGTTTTGTCGCAATCGCATAAATGGTGTAGGAGCGCATACGAGACATACAGACAGACATACATACAAACATTCATTTTTATATATATAGATATATATATATAGATTATTTCAAAGGTATTTTGACGTAATTTGTCTTTTGTGCTATTAGTTTTATGGCATAGAGCTACAATGAGATCGTACCTCTCTCTCACACAAAACATAGCCCCCTCCCACATAAAAAGAAGATTCACGCAACTTTAACAGTTATGTTTATACATGTTTATTGTGAAAATTGTTATGGAGAATTTACATTTAAAAATAAGATATACATTGAATTAACCTTGTCTGTCCTTTCAAAGAAAAGGCTTACAGTGCTCTACTGATTCCGGATGGTAGCCATTCAGGAGATTACATCAATGCCGTCATAGTTCCGGTAATGTGGTTTGATATAAGTTTCATGGAAAAAAATATAATTTGTATTTTATATTTTCTTCTTTCATTAGACACTGCCACGACCTTACTTTACTAAGTCGCGGCCCCCATTCAATGTTGCGGCATTCTTACGTTGTCTCCAGTTACGGCCTTCTCAATACTTAACATGTTAGGATCTTCGTCCTTACACTTCAACACATATAGTTACGTTTACTGCACAGTCAGCAGACTCCACGTTGCCTAATGGTTTACAACACTGTCTTAGTATCTATATATATGTATATCACAACTCCAGCATGGAAATACAACAGTTCTTTATTTACAGCATCCAATAGCAATTCACAGTGAAAACGTTCAATGGTGATAATACTAACTCTCAACTTGTCTCTCTCTGGGCGTCGTCTCAACCAACCAGCTATCAACTCCCGGCTCAGCTCTGGACTAACGTGTCTCTGTCTCCTAGCGCAACTAACAACCAACCAAAACACAACCCTTTTATATCCCTACAAAACACTCAGCATACACTAACGTTCTACACCAGGAGCCAACTTCGCGCACTGATCTCACGATCAACAACTGCCCCTACCCAACATTCACAACCATCTAGTTCACAACAGACACACACGATAAAAATCTTTACTAATCTATATTTCAACGTATGAACTAATTTTATTCTTCTTGTCATTTGGGTTTGTCAATTTCTTGTGTACTTTCAATTTAAGACAATTTAATTTGTTATTGCTGGAAAACTAATAAATTATTTCACTCAATATTTGATAATTCGTAGAGTTTGAAAAAGAAAGACCAACAAGTTCTGACCCAACTTCCCCTTGCCACCACAGTTGTTGACTTCTGGAGACTTGTTATGGACTTCAAAGTCACGCTTATTGTAGAGTTTGAATTTAATCTGCAGTCTACTGACCCGGTAAATATTAATTGCAAAGTTATACAACAATACGTAGACCTGCCAACGTCAAAAAAAACTATATATAAAAGTTGATAATCTTCAAGAAATGGATCTGTAAGAATTTGTAAGTTTTTTCCGTGAGCCATTATTTTCATAAATTGTCTAACCTCAAATTTGTGTTGCGTTTCCTAAGACTATTGCAGAATATCTCCCCTCTAAGTCAGGCGAGTCATTAACATTCGGAACCAATGAATTACGTATAATTTCTTCAAAGAAGTCCACTTTATGGGAGGAGCTACAACTGTCAATCAGGACAACAAAGAAATCTACTCATGTGACATCAGTAAGTTTAACTAATATTAAATTTTTTTTTATTGCTATACTTACCGAGTTACTTATTGACTTTTACCTTTCACCAGCCAGGGGAATAAGTCGTCTATAAGAATTTTCCATTAATCTTGGNTCTTTTTTTGGTTTCTTCTCTTCATTTTGCCCCGGGTTTCCATGTTTGGCATTGTCAGATATTGTTATCTGGGGGGGGGGGGTTTAAGAAGAGTTGTCAAATCCAACTTCTGTTATTCCGTATGATGACTTCAGTAATACTCTTCTTTTAAGTCCTTTCCAGTAAGTCTTTGCTGGTAATGATCATTTTCTTTCATTTAATGTTTAGGGTCTATCTATGTAATGTGTTTTTGAATGAATTTTCTACCTGATTCTCGCTGTTGTTCTCCAAAGTTCGGCTAAATAAAGTAGAACTGTTTTGACAATTGTGTTTACAAGTCTAACTTTGAGTTGCAGATTTAGCTCTCTTGAATCCCATATTTTAGGTAAATGCACATTGGCTGACCTAGCCCTGAAATCAGCTTCAAATCCACCATTTATGTCATTGGAACTGCCCAAGTATGTGAAGGCGTCCAATTTTTTTGGTGCATTATCTGCCATAGAGATATGCTTATCGTTGGCTAAGTTTACATAATGACCTTGTCTTGCTTTTAATTATACAAAATTCGAGCTTTGCTTAATGTTAACTCTATCTCTTGTCTTTTCCTGTGTTCGTTGCTGGTTTTGGGACTGAAGTACGATGTCATCTGCAAAGTCTAGTACATTCAGTTGTTCTACAATGTTCTTCAATGTACACAAAATCCTCTTTTTTTGTGCGGATTCTTGGATTATCCAGTCAATGACAAGGATGACAATGAAGGAGTCAAGAGAATCCTTGTCTGGCTCCTGTTTCCCCTTTAAAGGAATCTGTGAGTCTTCAACCTGCAAGCTACGTCTTCATAAGATCTCTATATCACCCTGACATGTATTTTCTATAATGCCGGAAATAAGTTGAAATAAGATTTGTCGGTCGAGGTTATGAAATAACTTTTTGATTAGATGAATAAAAGATAACGAAGTGGGTTGCATTCCATGGTCTGTTCTACAATGATGCGTAGTGTTGCAATATGGTATGTGTTGATCGGTTTGTAGGGGGGAATCAATCCTGTTAATCTAGTACCGTAGCTGCCTTTCATTGTATTCAGAAATTATTCTGCGAAATAACTTTCTTGAAATCGACAAAAGTTAAATACCTCTGTATTTTTAAAATTTCCCGAAATCCAATTTATTTGGTATTTTGACGAGGTGCTCTTTCCAATCTTTCGAAACACTCTCCTTCAATGTCTTTTTAATAGGGTTTTGTAGCACTTTGATTATAATATCTGGTCCAGATGCGTTCTAAATATTACACTGCTAGGGCAATGACAACGTGTTCGTGATATTTAATTTTTGAGTTTGTGCTTGGCCGATCCTAATAAAATTTTGCATGGGGATGTTATGGACATCTTTATGTTTTGCCATTTATGTTCGTTTTGTTCATCATCTGTTTGGACTGGCAGTGTATGGAACATATTCCTTAAGGCAACACTAGATTGCAGTCGTTTGTCAGAAGAGGCATTTTAGTTGCCTTTCAGGTGGCTTTGAACAGTTTGTCTACACTTTTAGATAGAGTCTTGCCCAAACATTATGATGATAAAATTTAAAATAAACTCTTCTTTTAGTTTGCACATCAAGTTTTTCACCAATGCATATGTGGTCAATTTTGTTTTTCCGCTTTATTAACAAGGACACAGACCAACGTTACTTCGTGGACATTCTTATGCAGGTATATGTTCCCCAATAAAGGCCTGATTCGACGTACAGAAGTCTGGCAGACTCTTGCCGTTTTCATTTCTAACTTCTAAATTATGGCACAACGCAAATTCTTCAAATGAGATTTTTTCTTTCACAATCACATCATTTAGATATCCCATCATGATATTTAGGTGTCTAAATGAAAATTGTTCCATTATAGCTTGTAGTCTATTGTAGACATATTATTTTTTCATCCTCCTTACTATCAATGTTTGATGAATAGTACTTTATTTCATTTATATCTATTTACTCCATCTTTGTTCGGAAAGGTGCTGTAATAATACTTGGACCATGGGCTACAATCCTAACATATGTTTCATCCGTGCAATAATGAAAGCGACTTCTCATGTGTGTGGAGTATTTTTCTCCAGGTGCCCTGAGTATCTTAGTGTTTTTCCAAGGCAAAAGTTAATTCTCCATCATTTGTCCATTTCTTTTTCACTTGCTGAGCTGCGTGATCTTATGCGTTATCATTTCTGCTACCACCTGTGCTGATTTCCCCGTTTCCCCACAAGGTCCTGACATTCCACGAATATATACTTTCTGCATTCAAAATGAGGGTCATCAGCTTTGAGGCGTCTAGTATCTCTGCCTTTGGCTGCAAGGTTTCATAACTTTTCTTGGGGAAGATTAGTATTCTTCTATCAACGCTAAAATAGTTTTATTTTTCTATATGCATTTTCTTATATGAGTTAACATATTTAAATAAACTGTAACAATAAACTCAATAGTTCTACTCTTTTAGACTACTATTGAAAGCGTTATAAAATTCAAACTTTGAACACCGATGAATCTTCAGAATACTTTTGTTTTCATAACAATCAATTTTTTAGTAAGAAATTTTTTGGAAAAAAAAGACTTAAATAATTTCAAGCAACACTTTGACAACAATATTTAATTAGGTTATATCTTAAAACGTAACGAACTTTTCATCTTTAATAAAAGTGAGGATAGTTTCTTCATTAAAAAAAAAATATTAAAAAAAAGCAAAACAAAAAATACAATTCGAGACAATTTCTGCTGTTATCAACAGGTTGACCAGTTAAAAGTCTCTCTCTTGAAATGTTTCTCAACTGAGCTTGATGTCAAGAATCTTCTACTTTTACTTAAACACATCAGGTCGTGTAAGTCACCATGCGAGGAAAGAGTTCTTTACATGTGCAGGTGAGTCTTTATAAACGCTTTTTAAAAAATGTATCATGAAGGATGATTATTCTCCTTTTTAAAATATTAAATAAAAGAATATTTGTTTAGAAAGCAATTTGAGATCGGACCATATTTCAAAAACCTATTAAAATGTTACATCATGTTTTACAATTTGCGCTAAAGCTTGTTTGTCAATAACAAAATAAGGCCATAGCTAGATGTTAATATCTTTCATTAAGCTATATTTATAATTGTTTACTTTGATGTAGAGATGGCACCAAGTACAGTGGACTGGCTTGTGTACTGGCTTTGTTGTTGGACAGAATGGACAATGATCTTCGCTTGACCGTACCACTTGTTGTGGGAGCCATTAAGTCTATTAGACCACAGGTCATCCCCACACTGGTAATAAAGTTTTTACACATATCAAAATTTAAAAAAAAACACAATTATCCGTTGTACATTAAATTAAATTAAACATAACTGTATTACTTCATAATAATTCATAAAATATCTTATATTGTGTGGTTGATTAATTTCAAAGTAGTATATAATTTTCACTGTATTATGTCTAAAACACTTAGATACTATTGCCTTTGCAAAAAGTCAATGGGTGATATTTAACTCTCTATTTTGTCCTTTGTCAACCAGGATCAGTACAGAATACTCTACCAAGTGTTACATCGTTACACTGAGTCTACGTCATCCTACACTAACTTTGGAGACTATCAGCAGATGAACTTGTGTGTGGCCAACAACTTGGACAAGTCAAAGAGTTTGGACAGTGACAATATTTACTCAAATACTTGAATGCTGTAATACAAAAGAAATTTAATTTTCATATAAAAAAAAAAAAGATTTGAACAATAAACTCATATTCTTAATTTTACTTAAAGTAAATGTTGTGTAGTATGAAAATAGAAATCACGTAAAATAAAACAATTACAATATTGATGAAGAAACGTGTGCAGATATTTGTTTCGTGCATCATTGATCTGTAACACCGTAGACATATTTTGCCAAATGCTTACAGTTTTAACAGCCACTCATCTTTCGTAAAAAAATACGATTCAAATATCGCCATATATTGTTTATTAAAAAAATACATTGTTTAGAAATATGTTTTTTAAAACTTTCATTGCAAGTATTCCCTTTGTTGATGTGTCATTCATACCAAAGAGATTCCAAATATTTTCCACAAATATATTTTATTTGTTTTAATGATCAAATATAATCATCAGGCTATCTAAATGTTATGTTAATATTATTTATTCAAGAATATATGATCCGGTGTTACCAGAGCATTAACGGAAGTCATATTGCGATTCTTTCCACTTGCTATTGTGACGTCTCAGCATCTAAACATTACACTTTCTGATGTATGTAACTGAAAGGGATTTTAGATATTTCATCGTTAAAAAATACGACTATACTCAATGCCCTTCTCATACATATTGAGGAAATGGGTAAGTGAACTTTCGTTATTGATATTTTTGTAAATATATACCTCTTACATCACTGGATGTTGATAGTATTTTCTTTTACATAAAGTAGTCATACCAAATCTTTTTCAGGACCATTGACTACAAAGAAAATATACCTTCTAAAAATTGATAAACATATTATTTACATCTATAGCAGTCTTGTGTTTGTTCCGAACTATTCTAAATGTAATAGTACGTTTTCTGATCTATTTTGCCGTAAAAGGAAGAATTTCTGGGAAATGTAGAAGAATTAATTATCTATTGTAAATTTAAAATTTCAAATGTATTTTTAAATAGTTATCCAAATTGGCTTTCTTTCATATTATGAATGTATTTTCAAGAATTGTTTGGTATAACTTTTTTTTTATTTTAATGTATTGCAATCTTTGTAAATATGTGTACAGATCTTAAAATGAAAATAAGGACAATTGTACATTTTCAATGTCGTTAGTTTCAAAGAATATCTAATTCAATATTTTATAATTTAAAACTCCATTGAGTTTAGAGCTACGATATTTTTTTTTTAAAATATGTCCTTAAAGTGTTCTTAATGTGTCCTCAATGTGTGCTCAGTGTATCATCAATGTCTCCTCAAATTGTCCTCAATTTGTTCTCAATGCTTGCTCAACTTTTCTCAAGTTGTCCTCAATTTGTTCTCAATTGGTGCACTATGCGTGCTCGATTTGTCCTCAATCTGTGCTCAATGTTTGCTTAATATGTCCTCAATTTAACCTAAATGTGTGCTCAATGTGTCCTTTCATGTCCTCAATGAGCGCTCAATATGTCCTCTATGTGTGCTCAATATTGCCTCAATGGTTGTTTAAGTTGTCCTCATTGTGTGCTCAATCTTGCCCTTGAACTAATATTTATATATATTTAATATTCCGACATTACTGTAACACGTGTTTATATATGTTTAAAGATGATATACATAAACTATCCTTTAATGACTGTTATATTATTGGATTTAAAGAGCTTGTTATTCACATACAAATGTTCTAACCCTATTTCCCGCTAATAAAATGAATTTTGTCTAGAAAGTTAAATTCATTATATCATTATTCTCAAAACTGTCTATAAACCGGTTTCAGGTCCGTAACCTATTTTCACTTTTATATACTGCTATCGTCATTAAAAACACTTAATAATATTGTCGCGTATCTAGTGCTACCGTCTCCAAATGCACTTACTAATGTTGTCGCATATTTAGTCCTACCGTCTCCAAATGCACTTACTAATGTTGTCGCGTATCTAGTGCTACCATCTTCAAATGCACTTATTAATGTAAACACGTATCTAGTGCTACCGTCTCCATATGCACTTACTGATGTTGTCACGTATCTAGTGCTACCGTCTCCAAATGCACTTACTAATGTTGTCGCTTATCTAGGGCAACTATCTCCAAATGCACTTACTAATGTTGTCACTTATCTAGTACAACCGTCTCCAAATGCACTTACTAATATTGTCGCTTATCTAGTGCTACCTTGGGCATTATAAACAAAGTGCAGCCAAAGCTTCTCATAAATTAATATTTAGTAAGCTTTTAATAAACATTCATAAAACTCCACCCTTGTTTTAACTCCCTCGTGGGCTCCTTCGCTTCCCTTGTCGCAACCCTGAACTCTATTAATATTCTATTGTCTCTCTTTACCAAAAATGTACTTGATGTTCCTATTTAAAAGAAACAATTGTTCATCACTATATCAAAGTATATTTAAGATAATGTTTATTTGATTGATATTAAAATCAATACCGAAACTCAGTTTATAATATAATCTGCTGTGGAAACAATTATTTAAATTTTACTTCTTAAAAAGCTATTTCCTATTTTAACTAATTTTAACATTGTGTTTCAAATTATTTTTCCTTACGAAATAAAAAAAAGTCAAATATTTTGGAGTAAATGTTCATGATACCAAGCTTTCATAAGAAGTGATGTCTTTAAAAAACTGTAAGCAATTTTTTAAAAAGGAGATTGTATTTTTTTTTTAATGGTAAAAAACAATTTCAGTTTTGTTTGTTTGGGCAATATGTGTGTTTAAATTAAATTATTGTAAGAGTATTCTAATTATGTTTTTTTTTATAATACTCTTATTTTGGGATTAGATGTTTAATAATCAATCGAGAAAGATTTCTTAAAATGAGTTATTTTTTTTAGAACAAAAATGTAAATGAAATTTATTTTAACGGTAACATATAATAAACACCAGTTCACACAGAAAGTGGTACTACTCCCAGGTGGCGATTCAGAGTAATAAGGCGAGAGACTTACTCTGTTTTAATCATTTTATTTTGTATACTACTTTCCAGCTAAGTGCTATTTCTTATTTTTATACCTTTTTTTCTGTTGTTTTGTTCGCTGACGAAGGCCTTCTGCCGACACGTTCTCTGTTTTGTTGCGTGTATTTTTTCAGGTTTAACGCTACTCTGTTTTAATCATTTTATTTTGGCGATTCAGAGCAGTCTTGACCTCAACGGAGGCCTCTGGTTTAAATGAGGCGGAGGAATTTGGGGTAAAGTGTGGACCAGAAATATTTCGCCACTTGCGTACAAATCTACTTAAACATTTCAAAGCTGATAGTACATATTTCAATGCCCATAATACATACTGCTGAAAGTATATTTTAGATAGAAAGTGAATAGTTAAAATGTGTACAATTATTATTTTAGTAAACTATTATTTTAAAGTTATTTCCTTGGTAAGGTCCATCGCTGTGCTTTGCTATGAGGCTAAACTGTTTTGCTACCTGCATTTTTGTATGTAAGCTTTTTATTAGTTCCAAAAATATCATATTCAATAAACTATGTTAATATATCACTGACTCCACATAACAATAAATATTGATATAATCATTGAGATTGAAATGGTGTTGATTAGAATTTGTATCATGAAACAAATGAGTTATAACTGTTACAATGGCAAAGATTTAATTTTTTATCAAAATAATGTTTCTTGGATCAATACAATCTGATTAATTATTATCCTAATATCAATAGTAAATACAAGTGTCTTACATCCTCTAACTGAGCTTTACGTACCTGTACATCTAAACATCTTTCTAACTTAACTTGACTGCTTAACATTGAAATGTTCATTTCTCTTTTGACCGTGTCAAGATTCATTTAGAATCTCTGTTTTTCTAAGAGTAATTCGTCTTGTTTTCCTTTTTGAAGTCCCTTAGATTTTCTCGGGGCTTTCCCTACTCGGGTGATTACTGGTAACAGGCATCAACATGTGCAACGTAACTGACTGCTGAATAAGCAACACCAACAGTATCTGACGTGTTCTCTTTTGTAAAAAAACATAAACATCCCAAATGAAATAGAGTTGGTCTGTTAGTCCCAACTGTTAGTCAGTAAGATGACTTTGTGGATAAATGCAATCTGGAATGTTCACGTTCTCTTAAATTCCGACGAGCCAATCTAATTGGCTTTTCACCGGTCACGTTTTGACGTGAGCCAGTCTAACTGGCTTTCCACCGGTCACGTTTTGACGTGAGCCAGTCTATGCGGCTTTCCATAATATCTATTTAATTTTAAGATTTTATATAAATAATTTGGTATTTTGTCCAAATCAATATTTCCACATCATCTTCAGGTGTTTACATTTGTAAAACTTGCAAAGAATTCATTTTTTATCGCAATTTTACAAGAAAAATAATGACCTAGTGTCAACAAAATTACTGCGTCAAAAACTTGGATTTGACCTAACATTGTGGACTACTTAAGTATACTTAATAAAACATTTCTCTTGCACACAAATTAAAAGTTATTAATTATAGGTTATCTGAGATTTAACTTCTGAAAACAGACACTAGGCAATGGGATTACCTCGGGAAGTGATTCCCAAACTTTTAAGACTGTGGTACGCTGGACTTTTTTCAAAATTTCATCCTAAACTAGATTTATTACTTTTGTCAGTTTTAACGAGAAGCATTCTGGTTTGTGCGGACCGGAAACGTAAGGTTCGTCGACAGTTGACAGTTTACGAACCATTAAGAATGGTGACCCACGGACGTAACTTGGAGATTGTAGGGGGCGCTTCAATTTGACCGATGAGCAAGTTTCACATATGCGGTTGTAATTTTAATTACATATTTTTAAAAAAAAATTAAGTTTCATCAAAAACAACGATGGATTTCTTGAAACAAACATAAATTCATTGTTCATTGGCAAACTCAGACATTCAATTGGCAAAGAACTCTTAAAAAAACAAGATAAGTTATGATT